CTGACATAAAAATAAATTTACTTGAATCAAGTAACTGAATCAACGCGACAACTAACATGGATCCAAATACTTCATTGAATGGCTCTATCAAATGAAAGCAAAACACTGACCCAAAGCTTCACTGATTCATTGTTAGTTTACTAACTGACTGGCACTCTTACATTTATATCTGATATCTCACTTCTAGATATTCATTAAAGTTACTAGATTTTCATGACGTTATGAATGGCAATCTAGAGATTTTAGGCTAACTTTTATAAACTTTTCAAACTTATTGTCATGCACCGTTTAGCTAGCATATGTGAATTATACAGTTAAAATTATAGTTTAAAATAATATTGTTAATATTTTAATTTAGATGTTTGTTTGCTATAGGGAACTCACTGACAGAATAAATCATCTGAAGAACGAATTATTAAATACAGAGATTTAACCAACAACATCTCTTTATGCTTTAGTTCAAGAGTTACACAATAAAATGTGGAAAAGAAAACTTATTTGGTCTACACCTATTACCACTACTGCTGTACCATCTGTTATTGAAGGATCTTCCTGGACTATTCCATCCAAGACACTAACAAATCAAATTTCAGAATTTAGCTCGCCAATTCAACATTGACCAAGTGAGAAACTAACAGACCATGATGGAAAGGTACCATGAGAGTCATAACAGGCTCAGTTTGAAATCATTTCCAGAGTGACACACCAAAAGGAAATATCTGGAGCAAAGTTCCAGAACAGGGTACAAGAAATAGAAGAGACCTTAACTGAACTTGCAAAAGATTTGAGAAGGCTCTCAATTATCCAACCTGGATGCTCTATGCAAAATGATGGACTTATTGGCACATGGCCAATTTATAGATGGCATAACAGAAGAGGATACAAGAATAAGGCTGAAGCAAATTAGCTGTACATCTCTAAAGGAAGCTATGCAGTTGGTGATGGAACAAGAATCCATTAAAGTGGTAAATAAACAGTTAAAGACACCATCCCGAAGATACGAGATTGACAGCCTGAGCAATATTGAAACAGTATAGACACCTAGTGACCCAGAATGGAGGCGATAATCCACATGACAATAGATATTTCATGTATAACTTGAAAGTAGATACTGTCAGAAAATGTAAACAAAAGCTTCTAGGGAAAATAACTCCTCCAAAAGGATATCAGAAAAAGGAAACAGTTATAGATGTGGGAAACCTGGCCATTACAGCCGAGACTGTGATGAACTAACAACTGTCAATACACCAAGAAAACAATACCTACAGCACCCAATGAGATCAATAGAACAACAAAGAACTAACCAGGCATAAAAAAGAAATTAGCTGGATTTATGGATCAAAATTCAGTTGGAAATACTTCATCTTCACCAAATAAAAAACGAAGTACATTATTTAATAAAGCCAAACCATAAATCCACGGGTTTATTGATGGGAACTTTGCAGTGTATTGATCAACTCTTGTTCTACATCTATCGTTGTTTGACCTAATTTGGTAATTAAAGGTTGTAACTTGCTTTCAACAATGATGAAAGAAGACGTATTGATTTGAACATCAGGTTGGCATAAAGTTCCAGCAAAAGTGAAGATGGGAGTCAACCTTACTGTAGGAAACTTTCTTAAATCTAATGATGTGTGGGTAATTGACAAAGAATAGTGCATGTTAAGATCTGACTTCATGTGAGGTCAGGCTAGCTTCAAATAACTTCACAATAAATATCAGAAAGTATATATGTACTACATGGGTATTACTACACAAGAGGTTGAACATCCAGTGACAACAGGGAGGTTTTTCATTGTACCACCAAGAAGTGAAATATTCCTACCAGGAGCTATCAGCAATAATCTCCCATCTAGTGACTGGGGCTTAGTGGGACCAAACACTTCGTCATATCCTGAGGAACTAATGATTGGAAGAGCTTGTGTGGACGTGAAGAATAAAGATTCCATACATAACACTGACCAGGAAAGACTTAAACCAGTCTGTGATAAAATGAGAGGCTGCTATGATGTCAAAGCTGATAAAACTGGGTTTCATGACGGTGACATGGTATGGCTGAACAGTTCTCATCACAGAAGAGGCCAAACTCCAAGGTTAAGTAGGTGTTGAGAAGAGCCATGTGTTGAATTCACAAGAATCAATTATGTGGATTACAGAATCCAAAAGGATAGGTGATCCAAGCCAATATCTAGAAGTGAGACATCAGATATGTATATACAGATGAACCAATCAATTGGTAACCTAATGCTGAATCACTGAAGATTTGAGTCAGTGTTTTGCTTTCATTTGGTATAGTGCCAGTAATTCAGTAAAATTTAGTTTCAGTGATATTTGGAACCCGTGATAGTTATTGCACATATTCAGTTACTTGATTCAATTACCATGCACAAGTTTACTTTTACGTTGGTTGTACCACAATTAGCGAGATGTTTCTGTTTGAATGCCATTTATAAACATAGGCCTACAGGTTGCAATAGTGTGCAATAGAAAGCAACGTGTATAATGTTAAGGAATATATTAAAGCAATTAGATATTTTCGAGGGAATTTTACAATTGCTTTAGTATGTTTAACGTTTTAAAAGCGTTTAAGAAAGAAGCTATAACAATTTTCTTAATTTTAAGTGAACATATACATGAAGAAATGGCATAAGTAAAGATGCCTGGATTATGAAATAGGATTAAGAGCTAGAAAGTACAGCTAGCTGGTTAAATAGTATTGAGAATCACGAGTTAGTGAATCACGAATTAAGAGTTATAAAAATGAAGCTATTGTCTAGCAACAAAGTAGATGCACTAGCACCAGTGATTGACAATGTTTACCTATTGACACCAACTCGTTAGTACTGTGGAAGCTACGAAAAAGTAACATGGAAAAGCGGTACATTGATGATATATTCCTTACACAACGCTGGTGCACTAGCACAAGTGAGAAAACAACCGGCTAACTCACCATAACAGTAACCAATCAATTGAGATTTTGGGTTATGGCTTTGGACTAGCCTAGGAAGTTGCACAGATCAACCAATGAGGTGTTAGAACTACTTATGGGTAGTTAGGAATACTACATGGAAGGTCGACAGAATACAAAAAAGAATGGGTTGAAAAACTCATGTCTGGAGCCGAAAAATCAATTGTCTTGAGCTCCTTAGAGCTATCGTCAGGAAGAATCAGCGTTTTCCAGATTCCAACCTCTATGAATATGAAGGTCTCAAACCTCCAGAAGTATACTGGCCCAGCTCTGTTGTAAGTATAGAATTATTATCTCCCTTGATCATTTAATGTAGTTAGGTAGTAAAGGATATTCATGTTTATATTAGAGAAATGCACTCTATATGTACTGGTCATTGGTGATGATTAAAAATAACAGTAAACGTTATAACAATTAGTAAATTTTTGACTATTATTGTATACTATGTGGAAAGATTTAATAAATGTTGTTATATTTTGTTTAATGTTAATCTTGGAATCTGTTTCTTTATTCTAACTGTAAAGTACCCGAGTTAGCGACTTGTGAGCTCCACTCGCCACTGCAAATCCTCAACTAAATAACTTTGGTGCAATCGGCAGTATCATTGGAACTCCAACAATTTGCCCTAAGGGCGCTGCCCGTTACAATATTAATTAATTTATTATCATTACATGGACTGGACTTCAGAGGCGTCGCTAGGTACTTAAAAGAATCTGGGCTCAAGTACATAGCTCCCTCCCCCGAGAATAATTAGATATTTAAGTTTACTATTTTGATATTTCAAGACACTAACTAGAAAATCGGGGCACTGTGTGCCAGTGCTTAGCGATGTCTCTGCTATACTTTGAATTATTTTAATCAAATAATGACCCCACATTGGCACAGTGGTATGTCTGCATGCTTATACCGCTAGAAACCGGGTTTCGAAACTCGCGGCGGGCAGAGCACATGTAGCCCTTTGTGTAGCTTTGTGCTTAATAACAAACAACACCAAATAATTTGAAAGAAGCCTCCGAATGAAAGAACGACGTGAGAACAATATGCTACGATATAAACCCCAAAAGTTGGTGAAGCGTTAGAAACTATTAGGCCTAATATTTGACATAAAAATTATGTAAGCTTCAGATGTTTTCCTCACATTTAAGTTATCCATCTCTAATTCAAAATCAGCGACATGTAAAAATAGCATTTCAGATCTGCCTTTTGTCTCGCACAACTCACTGCTCAATTAAACTGAATGAAAAGCCTCTTCGGCAGCTATTACAATAGTAAGACTAAATTATATGTGATTTCTAGGGCAATTCGTAACACCCAGCTTAAAAATTTCCAGTCCTCGGGCACTTGCTTATTGACCTACTAAAATATCTGACCTCCAACCATCCTTAAATCCCTGGAAAAAGCATTGTCTAGTTCTGGCTCTTTATCTATTTTTAATCTCTGAATCTTTCTTTCACAACCAAGAATATTATCTACATTATTCAAGTCAATTGCAATATATGCCTTAATCTTATATTAAACTTTGGGCATTTATTTTAGCTTTTGCTACTTAAAGCGAATGTTCCTAACTTCTAACAATACGTTTTTCTGTTCAAGCATAAATGATTTGACGTATAGTCAAAGATTAGTTTAAATTCTAATTTTGGATTCATATAATAATAATTTGAAGGTATATAATACATAATTTCATACTCATCAGTCCGTTTAATATAAGTTTATTCCTACTTTAAAGGAATAATAAATTAGTCCCAGTTGAAATATAATGGGGATTTCTCATAAAATAACAAAGAAATCTACCTTAATTTTTCAATGATTAAACATTGTATGATTACTAATATGTTGAAAGTGTAAAAGAGGTTGATTTGTTTATTTAATAAACAAATTTAATTTTAATTATTGCATATGATATACGTATTTTTTATACGGTCGTCATGAGCGCTCTGCAATTGAGGGCTTACTACATGTGGTGCAATGTGACTTAAATACCCGTATGTTTTAGTCATGTGACTTAACTAAAAATTACGAATGGATAAGGTGAAAGATGGATATCGTGCAGACGATCACTTAAATTATTGTTAATTCTAGCAGTTTTTCTTAGCTGAAACACTAAGATTTTCTATATAAGAAGGAATTTTAACAATGGGCAATAAAACAGTCAAATCTTATAGCATTCCATACGAAGTTGCAGTTAAACGAGGTAAGTTTGTTTATGCTACTGCTAGTACTTAAGTATTGCTATTAGCAATAGTAGCATGTCGTTGTTAATGTTAGGCATATACATGATGCTAAGCCTACATAATTGGTAAACACCCACTTTTACTTTTACTTTTAGTTTCTTTAGTATATCAGGGAAGCCCTAAATTCCTTGTCACAGCAGTTATAATTGGTTATTGGTTTACTGATGTTAGTGAATGTGAAAGAATATAATTAAAAGTACAAGAAAAATGTATTTAAAATTATTTTGATTTTGAAATTATAATAATACTAATACCAGTAATATATTGTAACAAATGCAAATTGCAAGGCAGGAAAGTGTTTTGGGAAATTGGAGTCAAAGCTTATAAATTAAAAGTATTATCGTTAGATTTTCGTCATATCAACAGCTATCACAATGAGTGAATGATAGTGTGTTGTGTTAACTTATTGGTAGGTCGAAATAGCTTTCATCAGTAAATCATTTGTGAAATATTATATTTGTACTTTACTTTAGTTAAAAATATAGCAGCATAGTTCTCATAACTTTTTTCTCCTTTTAATTCAAAGCTGATATAAAGTTCCTTACAAGACAAAATTAGAAGTTAAGTTTATTTTCTTTTTGCTTTGTTAATTACATTGTGTATTTGTACTGAAAAAGTATTAGAAAATAATGGTTCTAAGTTTCATGTATGAAAACATTAGTAGTGAAAGTTTAAAAGAGCAAAATAAGGTTATTCAGTAAATACAAGTAGATGTTAAGGTCTTTGCTGGATTAATAACATGGCTTCTTGACATTTGTATAATTTTGTTTTTAACATCAAGCAAGTAATTATCTCTGAAGAATAAGTTCAGTGTAAAAATAGTGGTTTTTGACATGTGTATGTACATGATGAAACATTACAAGGAAAGAAAATGACATGTACTTTTACGTGTGTCATTATCATTCAGTACAAATGGTTGTGTTATGCTTAAAATTACTTGCCTATGAATGTTTACAACTTGTATTCACTGTGTACTACCTGAAGCTAACTTTTCAACAAGTTAAAATTTAAACATTTTGGTTCCTTTTCAGTGTACTGTTCATCTATACAATTTTTTCTTATCTTTCTGTGAAAAAACTGTCGTAAATCATTTTAGTAACTCGTTTATGGAAACAGCAAAGGCTTACCTGACCTACAAGATATGTAATTTTGATTAACTTAGAAATGAAGTATATTATTAAGAGCCAAGGAGATAGTTTTGTATTTTTGTTGACTCTGTACCAGCATTAACAATTAGAAACTTTTAAATGTGAATTTGTTTTTTAATTTATTAAGATTCACATCAATAAGAAACTTGCAAATTTTGGAATTATCGGTTTAGTTATAACAGTGTTTATTTTATAAATTAAAACAGCAGATTTAGCGTGAGGGAGGATTCATAACATAATGTTTTGCTTGGGACAACATCGGACCTACTGGTCCATCTCAGGCTGTTCCACCTTCTAAACTAAACCAAGACTATTTATAAATAAATTGAAAAAAAAATCTTAAAGACAGCCCCTATCGTTCATATACTTATCAAGCTTTCTCTTAAACTCACTTAAATTAATTGCCTCCACAACATCCAAATGCAACCCATCCAAAGCTCAACCATCTTGTTAGAAAAATAAAACTGTCTTGGCTGAAGATGACTCCTACCCTGCCAAAATGTATACTTGTGTCCCTTAGTTCTATTTTTATCATTGTTAAGTATGAAAAAAGATGATGCATCAATACTATTAGTTCATTTTACAATCTTAAATACCTTAATTAGAACAATTTGAGAGATTTCATCAACCTCTCCTCGTATCACAACCCGAGATCCCAGGCACCATTCTAGTAACCCTTCTCTGAACCCTTTCC